TTTTCTTGACAATGTTTTAACGAGGAAACATTTTATTACTTCAAATTATTTAGACTCTTTTTTGTTGGCATTTTTGTCTCATTGGATTTTTGCCAAATAATGTTTAAATGAGATAATTATTGTGTAAATAATCATTTAAGGAGGAGTGTAGTAAATATAATAATATTTATGAATAACTTATATACCCTACAGTCCTAATCATTATGATTATTGTATTCTTTGTAACCCTAATTATTCTCTATAAATATGAGACTTTGATTTTTAATAAAACATACAATTATATTGGATTCTCTCTTTTGTTCTCTTTTTATAACAATATAAATAAAATATGAACTATGACTAAAAATGTCAAACAAGAAATTATAAATTGAGAACTTGGCTAATATATATATATATATATATATATATATATAATAAACTCTCAAACATCAATTGCACTGTTTTATGTTACTAGAAGTTATCCCAAATCGAACCCTCTTATAAACGTCTAAAATCAAGATGTATACATGTGTAAAGTTGCCTAAGGGCTCATAGAGTTGAAATTGTTGGATATTTGATACCCAATAATCCCGGACGATGAAATTAAACAGTGTCGGATAGTCGGATTAGATTTCATAGGCTTCGACCGATGATTGAAATATTTATTAACACACTCGATTAATTGGCTCGACCCAAAAAACAACTTGAGGGTCGTTTGAAGCAACTTAATATAGTTAATGTTGCTCACGACCCATTTACTTCTTGGATGGCTCAATTTGTGTTCCGCCCCCTTTACCCATTAGTTGGTCCATGAGCCCATTATATTATTACACCCTAAACCTATATATTGCTCCCATTTGTTGAAAGAGCCATGTGTTTTGCAATTGAAAAGAGGAGCCGACATTTTTCCCTAGTTTTCTCTCTTGAGCCTTAAAAACTGAATCCGTCTTCCTCTATTCTTGGTGATTCATTGCAGCCACCATATTGTGTTCTTTGTGAACACATTGACTTGAGCAACTGAAGTAAGAATCATGATTGTTTGGGTTGGAGCCATTGTTGGGTGTGTTTAATAAGATAGAGATTGGCGAAATTAGGCCCGAAAAATCCACCATCGGAGGTCGATTGTTCAACATTTGTATCAGAGTGAGGTTGGGGTGGAATTTCCGGCCAAAATCCAACCAAAAAATAGGCAGAAATCAAAAAAATAAAACTGTCCAAAAAATTTTCCCAAAAATCGGATCTGCAACTTCAATTTTCGGCAAATCCAGACGTCTTTTGGAGAAATGGAGGCCGGATTCGTGATCTGCACGTGGAGGCGGTGCTGGGTGGCCGACGGCGATGGCGGGGGCACGTGGCTTCTTCGGCGGCCCGTGGGCCCGATTCTGGGGAAGGTGTCTTCAAATAGTTTGTTCCTCATATTATTTCTAACATTTTTCGTGTTGAAAGTTTTCTGTTTCAGGTAACATAGAAAAAGTTGGACGATTTTGCCCCTGGAAATCAAACTACATTTCTTGGCGAGCTGCACGGTTATATTTTCTGAATCTTTAGGACGAATAGTGGTGGTCCTAAAGTAGCAGATTCGCATATCTCTCGATTATATGGACTCAGACACGTCCGCTCTGGTAAATTGGCTTAACCCGTTAATTTAAGCATTAGTGTGTCACCGCGTGGGATGACAATAGGTTGGGGGTTGTCATTGCTTGGCATCCATTGCTTGTGCTAGAAATTAGGATTACTTGCACTTAATTGTTGCGATTGAGTACTTATTTTTGAATAAATTAGCGTATTGTGCTTTGTGCTAAAATTGTCGTGAAATTTCATTTGATTGGATATACCTATTTTGTTGCATCGTAAATTCCACTGTGTTGTTACTTTCGTTAGAATACCTAGACCTTATCCGTTCAAACGTTCCCTTGATCTAAGACAGCGAGTCTTACGAAACCCTGGGAATCTAGAACGGTGTATATTGCGACCGTAGGATTACTTTGTGTGATCTATTTGCCTAATTGATTATTTCGTTTTTCAAAAATGTCTTCACATTTCGAAGTTGGTATTTTCAATGGAAAGGGTGATTTTTCAATCTGGCAACAAAAAATGGAGGGTATTTTAGTCCAACAAAAATCTGGCAACAAAAAATGAAGGGTATTTTAGTCTAACAAAAGGTTTCAAAAATCATTGAAGGCAATTTTCCAGCTAATTTTTCAAAAGAACAAAAAGAAGAAGCCGATGAGCTTGCTTATACCTCAATCATTTTACATCTGTCTGAAGCTGTTTTGAGAAAAATAGGAAAATTGAAAACTACAAAAGATCTTTGGAAAAGGTTGGAAGATCTATATTTACTTAAATCCACTCCAATAAACTTTATCTTCTTGAGCATTTCTTCAGTTTTAAAATGGATCCTTCAAAGGATCTTGATGACAATTTAGATATTTTCAATAAACTTGTGCAAGATATTGTTAACTGTGAAGAAATCATATCTGAAACTTACAAGACTATAATCTTGCTTAATTCTATGCCTGAGTCATATAAGGAAGTTAAAAATGCCATTAAATATGGTAGGAATACATTGACTCCCGAGATTGTCGTAGACTCACTTAGGAGTAAGGAGATGGAAATGAAAGTTGAAAATGAAGATAAGAGGAGTGGTGAGTTACACATGATAAGGCGTGGGATGAAGTTTAAGAAAATGAATTTGGGTAGAGTTCAAAATAGCGGTGATTCGAGTAGTGACTCGAGTGATGAAGGTGGTAAGATGAAGGGCAAGGGACGAGACAAGTCTGGTGGTAGACGATGTTATATTTGTGGTAAGTCTGGACACTTTATTAGGGATTGTCCCAAGAAGAAGGATAAGCAGAAGGGTTATGTGAGGGGTGAGACGAATGTGGTTGAGGGGTCGAGTTATGACCCCAGTGAGGTTTATTGAGAGAGTAAACCTAGTCACTGCATATGCATCTGTGTGTGATCCTTTCAGCATGTGCGTGATTGCCTAATTTGTTGCATGACTATATGTTGCATTTCAATTTGTTTGATATGTGTGTCTACATGAATTTTGAGGTAATGTGATTACTTGGTGTGATCGTTTGCATGCATAGTGGGTTAGGATGCATTAGCAGTGTGTTAGATGTCTTTTGGTAAGGTGAAGTATAGATGTCTAGGGGTACATGGTGATTTGTAGCGGGGAATGTGGAGTGTGACATTTGGATCACGAGTGGAGATGTGATCAAATGTGTAGAAATCTTTTATCTGTGAAAGAGACCCTGTACAGGTGGAGTGCGAGAGAGGCACTTCTATCACTTCTATAAGGTGGAGTCCCATTATCCACGTAAGTTAGGAGAAGTGATGGTTATAGAGGATTATTCCTGAACTTAGGATCTACTGTGACTTGTCATTTTGACATGAGTTGTGTGATCTATTTAGTTAGCATGGTGGGCGATGAGAGGAGATATGTGTTCTCGAGGTGGGAGTAACACGAAATGGGATAGGATAAGTGTGGTGAGATCTTTCATGAGGTCATTTATGCATTTGTTGCATATGTGTTTGACCGTGTGCTGATTAACTTGGTGTTAATCTTTAATTCTGTGTGAACGTGAATTTGAAAAGATCTGTGTGATGTATCCTATATAATATCTTTATCGCATGATTAGTTGTTCACTGTAAGTACTTGTTTCTACCTGGGTGTTTTTTGGACTTTAGCCCCGATGAGTACATGGATCAGGTATGGTGTGTGTTTCGGTTCGAAACACGAGGTAAGGTCTGAGATACCAATTTTATAGGATTACCTTGATTGTGTAAGTTTAAACTTTGTGTTTTGGTTAATTTGCAGATTATTGGGCATCAAAGTGGAGATTGTTGGGTTTTTGATATCCAATAATCCCGGGCGATGATCTTAAACAATGTCGGATAGTCGGATTAGATTTCATAGATTTCGGTTGATGATTGAAATATTTATTAACACATTCGATTAATTGGCTCAACCCGAAAAACAACTTGAGGGTCGTTTGAAGCAACTTAATATAGTTAATGTTGCTCACGACCCATTTACTTCTTGGATGGCTCAATTTGTGTTCCGCCCCCTTTACCCATTAGTTGGTCCATGAGCCCATTATATTATTACACCCTAAACCTATATATTGCTCTCATTTGTTGAAAGAGCCGTGTGTTTTGCAATTGAAAAGAGGAGCCGACATTTTTCCCTAGTTTTCTCTCTTGAGCCTTAAAAACTGAATCCGTCTTCCTCTATTCTTGGTGATTCATTGCAGCCACCATATTGTGTTCTTTGTGAACACATTGACTTGAGCAACCGAAGTAAGAATCATGATTGTTTGGATTGGAGCCATTGTTGGGTATGTTTAATAAGATAGAAATTGGTGAAACTGAGCTCGAAAAATCCACCATTGAAGGTTGATTCTCCAACAGAAAGTTCTGAAAGAAATTCTTCATTTATTTGATTAAGTAATTCATTGGATGTGTTAGCGTGGTCCTACCAAGATATGCCTAGAATTGATCTTAAAATCATGCAACAAATGATTTCCACTTGTCCAAATGCTAAGCCATGAGGCAGAACGAGACGGAGATGGATTAGATTGATCCCATGAATTCCAGTTGATAAATTGCCTGTGATGTAGGGAACATAACGCACTCCTAGACTTGCATACTGTCTTTTTGGATTCGAGCTAACAAACCTGTCTTCATCAATTCCAAATGGAATTCAAGGATTGTTTGAGCCGCGTTCTCTTCACAAAAATACATTTTGTAATATATTATGATGGAGAATGTGTGGTTGAAAAATAAAGAAAAATTTTAAATTTACGTGTGATATTATTTTATTGAAAAATGTGTGATTGAAATAAGGTCAAATCACTATTTAAAAATACATTTTGATAGAAAAATGGGGCTCGATTCAAACCCCTTCCTAGATCAGCATAATTCCACATGTTTCATGCGATCCAATACTATTCCTCCTAAAAAGTTAGAAATTTTTTTATTTTTTTTTAGACGAATGGAGCTGCCAAGTTCACTCGTAAATAAGTAAACAAACAAATGTTGTTTATCCATCAACACTTAAAAATCTGGGTGATTGTCTAGCTCTGAAGAAGAATTACATGATGACGCTCTTCACGAAAATAAAAAATAATGGAACCATCTGAACTTGTCAAAAACGTAACATATTACACTGACAACTCTGAAAGGAGAGTTGCCCTTAAATGCATAGATAAAATTACTCTTCTTGGAACTTATGGTGTGTGGAAGGAACACGAACAGAGGAAAAAACTCGAGAGAAACTATTTACTTGCTGCAAGAGCCTCCAACTCTGTTTGACTGACTGAAATATGGGAAAGCTCCAATTTGATAGACTCAAAATCTGTGCTCTCTCTTTCTTCCTTTGACAACCATGTCGATAAATATTGCTTTATGAACTCACTGGCAGACGTGAAAGTTGAAATGCCCCTTGAAACCTTCGTCTGTCCAAATCTCGTAATAAGTTTCAAATTTGAGTCAGTGGGATCTTTGACATAAGTTTCTAGGATTTCTTTGATGGCATTGCACCAGATTGGCCGAGCCACCTTAAGGAACTCGTGCACCACCATCACTGGAAGACTCACACTTCCCATCTCGGATTCGTGCTGACCACTTCTCCCATGATAGTCCGATCCTCCAAGTTTCAAAAGATTTTGTGCATCAGCCAAATCACTGTATACTATATTGAAACAAAGGGTGAATTAAAATATCAACATAAAACCTTACAAACTAGAATTAAAACATACATTTGTAGTTCCTTCGCAGTTGATCTAAATAACAACCAAGAAGAAATCATTTTTCAAAAACTCTCATATACAGCTAATCAGAATATGACCCGTGCAGCCATATCTGCAGCAGGTTGTCATTTGAAAATCATTCCTATTTCTTTTTGGAAGGGCGGGGACGGGGGTATATAATTCTAGAATCTCTAGTTGGAAAGTCAACTAGTCCTCTGGTGATGGTACTTAGTACCATTAACTAGTACAACATTTCGCCGATAACTTCAATATTAAAATCTGTTAAGCTCAAAAAAATTAAAAAATTAAAAAAATCATAAACGTTTTGGGTGAATTACATGAGAGTAGAACTATATATAAAACGTACGTACCTTCGAGTTTTCCATCGTTTCGGTAAGCCTCTATCCCATGTAGTCCTGCTTCTTTCAGTCTTCTGATGATGGTGGCAGGATTCTTCAGTGCCCATGGATGTGCCAGCACTGCAATACCTCCCGTTTCACGTATCAATTCCACAGCCTCCTCAGACACTGGCTCACTTCCCCTGCACCAAAGAACATGCAAAACTTCTACATTGGACTATTTGAAAACATAAAAACCAGCAAACAAATAAAGCCAAGTTGACGATGTCAAAAATATTACATAGAATATGCAGGTCCACCATCATAAAGATACTGAGTAAAAGCCTGTTTTAGATTTTCTACATGGCCAGCTTCTAGCAGAGCACGAGCAAGATGGAGCCTCCCAGGAGCAACACCCTTTCCTGCAATCTTGATTAGATTTTCCCATTTAAGAGGCATCTTGAGCTTGTTCAGTTTTGAGATCATGTTTTTCGCACGGATGAAGCGTCCATCCCTAATATTACCTAAGAACTTCTCGAATTCCTCAGATTTTTTTGGCCCCCAACTGCTGTAATATGCGAGAATGTGAACAGGTTCTTTTGGTCCCGACTCTCCTCTGCAAGTCATTTTACAAAATAAATACATAGTACAAGAAATAATTGCAACGTTCTAGATAATCACTACCATGATAGTAAACATTAAGCAAATGAATACACAGGAAAACAATAACCTTGTGGAGAACATTGTACTAATTTCAACACCAGGTATAATCTTGATGCCAAATCTGCGTGCTGCTTCCAGGGCTTCAGGGATTCCAGACATCGTGTCGTGATCCGTTAAAGCAAGCACTTTGACCTGTTATGGACAGACTTACAAATTAATAGCACAACTAATTATGATCTAAAAAGGATTATTCTAAGAAAATAATTTGTCCTCAAAGATAAAATTACACTGTTCTTGATAGAAACCAAAAAATAAAAGAACAACAAACAATGTTGGAGGATAGATTATCTACATAATCACGATACAACCTGAGCAAACAGCATTAAACATAAAGGATAGATCTCCAACAACACATGATATATCAAATAATCACAAGAAATAGAATTATAGAACATCTTCTCTCAGATTTTTATGTCACACACAAAATCAAATTAGATTTATATGTTATACAGATGGTAAATCTTTAATTTACTCTCTCTCTCTCTCTCTCTCTCTCTCTCTCTCACACACACACACACACACACACATTCATGCGATTATAAAGCTTCCTTGTTCACAGAAATTCCTCTGCATATGTTTTAGAATTCATTTTTATAGATGAAGGCAAAGTTCCTCTTGGATTTCAATATTGTTCAATAAGCTGTAGTTATTTTACAATTTCCTTATTGATTTATTTGATTGTTCCAGAAGGTTGCAGGACCAACACCAAGAAGTCATTATTTAAAGCGAAAGGAAATAACTACAGAACACCCTCTATCGCGAACTCCTACCCACCCCCTTACTACCATTCCTTCAAAGAGAAAAGGAAAAAGAACCTCTTTTTGGAGGCGTGCACACACAAATAAAAACAAAGCCACTCAATGAACACCAACAAATACATACTCTTGGAATGTGATCGTATCGAATTTCAGAAAGGACATCTGACTTTGCGATGACAAGAATAGTTTTTGCTTACATGTAAACTAATATACATTGACCTGCTTTTATTTCCATTCTTCTAGCCTTTCTGGTAGTAACTTCACAATTAATGCCAGTAAGGCCATTTGGTAGGCCTAAACAGGTTATTATCTATTAACATTTTTCTTCTTGCAATATTTTGCACATTTAGAATAAATGATCAGGAAGAATTGTAAAAGAATGCAAAATGCTACCAAATGCATTGATGGCATAGAAGATCTGCAGAGACGAGACATCTATAAGACAAACAATTTGTGTCTCGTGCTTCTATGACAGCAATCAACATGAAATTTGATGATTAAGTTGAAAAGCTGGCATATGGATAAGGAAAAGATGATATAAGTTTTACAACCTAACTCTGTCTCCTTCCCCTTCACAGTGAAAAATTGAGCCAAAATAAAATACCCCAAGGAGTGTCATAAACCTACAAAAATGATCCTTCTTGATAATTCTGAAATGTTCTATCCAATTCATACAACACAGTTCTCAAATTGTCACCTACATTATCGTGTTCTGCACTTGACGACATTTAAACTACAAGATCAGAATGCTCCGGTTTTGACTAATGTGTGGAGACCAGAGACTTCAAAACTTAATTCCAATACTAAATTGAGCCCAAAGGAATCATTGATAGTCTATGCACTGTCCGATTTCCATCGACTTATGTACTCAACTGACTCCAAAGTTGAAGAGCTTATATATAAAGTTATAAACATACCTAGGATTGTAGAATTTTTGCCTTAAAATTCGTCACAATTCAATCATCTACCCAACTTTTCCAAAAGAAGAAGCAAAAGGGTGAACTTTGATAATCAGAACACAATTCAATCAGAATGAAATTTAACAATATGGGGAAAATATCAGATACTTGATCCAAAAAATCATCAAATCCTTTCGTTTATAATTGAAACACCAATTGCATATGAACAGGGTGAAAATAGAAATAGCACATTCAAATGTATAACAAAACCAATTCAAAGGAAAATTCATCTTCCGTAACTACAAAAAATGAAGAACACCCCCCACCCCCAAAATAATAATAATAATTGGAAAATGAAAGAAAAGCTCACCCCATTTTGATGAGCTCTCTCCACAAGCTTGGAAGGAGACAAGAATCCATCACTGCATGTTGAGTGACAGTGAAATTCAAAGACAAGTTTTTCTTTTGGCTGGTACCATTGCACCCCAAAGTCATCCAAAACCGAATCAAAAAGACACATTGAATTAAAGCTATTATCATTAGACCGGTCCAAGAAAACCCATTCCCGGACTGATTTGTATGCCACTGTTTGTTCAAGGGTCATTTTCCTCTTGGCACCGCCTCTCTTCTTTTTCTTCTTTTTCTTAGAATTATTATTGCTGTTATTAACAATTGGCTTTTTCGAGCTTTCTTTATCAGCCATCATTTGATTTTGAGAGAAAAAGGAAATAAATGATAATGACGAAGCAGGAGAAAAATAATGAAGAAGAAGAAGAAGAAAGGAGGAGGGAATCGTTGGGTTTTATTGAACAATTGAGGTCAAGCGGTAGGATCTGTGTAGGGTATATATCTATTTGTTTTCGAATATAGTACTTTGTTCTCTATCTTTTCTCGTTAAAATAAAAAAAATATTATCGTTATTCATAACATTGAGTCATCAAATTAAAATTTTTATATTTTGTATGGGACTCATAATAATTATATTTTTCATTTTCATTTTTAAAAAAATGAGAAACAAACAATAGTCATAGAAATTGGAGAAGATATCTTTACATGGTTTCTCTGAATGGAACACTCTCAGGGAAATTTTCTTTTCTTTTTTTTCTTTTCTATTTAACATGAAAATAATGCATAGATTCCTTATCAAACAAAAAATAGAGAGAGAGAGAGAGAGAGAAATTAAGATTCTTGATTGTACTTGTGGTTTCAAAATGGACCTACTAACTTGGAACTTGTTTGCATAGATATTTGAAAATTATTTTTTTTTAAACTTATTTTTAATCATATATGTTCACAGTTTAATAATTGAACACGCGAACATATAATTTTTCATTACTATTTAACACACCTTCTCTAGAATTATTTTTCCACTTCAAATGAATAAAAATTGAAATTGAGATTTGCCATCCTACAAGGTCAAAATAAATCTGATTAGGCACTAAACGAAACTAAAACACGGTATAAGGCTAGCCCTAATAGTTGATTATTGGGCCCGATCATCCTATCAATTAGTTATATGTGTTTGTTTGGTAAGGATTTTGATAATTGATTTTTTGACCATTAGAGATAAATTGGATCCTACCTGTGAGAGAAAAAATCAAAAATAACGATTGAAATAGTGAAATAACAGTCAAAAATTGATTTTAATTAACTTTTAAATTGTACCAAATAAGTTGAACAATTTTCAACTACAAGAATAAAGTGTACACTATTGTTTATAAATATATTGATTTTCATTTTCCCTCCATTATTACTTTTCTTGTACACAACCTTTTAATCCTTTGGGTAATTTAACTTTTGTTAGGCGGTTCTCTTCTAAAGCCTGTCTCCCACTAAAACAGGACGTTGCCAGTCCCCTGAACCTGATCCATTCCTCCCACTCCTCTTTTTCACAATTTAATTTTCAGATACGACGTGACGTTATCAATCTTCTTTTACTCAAAATAAAGTCTTAGAAACAATATGAAAATTTAACAAGAATTAAAAGTTTTTTTGTCAGGAAAAAATGTCATCCTTATTGACTAATACCCACATGAGGCTCAAAAAAAGGTCAAATAATTGCTGCTGCCTATCGTGAGAGGGCTGTCAGAGAAGGTGTCAAACCCTCAAAGCAAAGCAGGATTGATTTAACAATATCATGACTGAATTCTGTCTATGGTGATCAGGAAATATATACTTACATGTTCTTTGTCGCTTGAATTAATGCATATGCAAAAATATTTGAAGCTATTATATCATGTAATGACGATCAAAAATCTATAACAAATATTTAGCTCGAGATTAATGCACTGTCTCCTCCATCATTTAGTAATTACTAGTTATAAACTTATGTTTGGAGAGGAGATATTTCTTATACTATTTCAACGACCAATGAGATGGTACATTAGGCAACTAGGGCTAATTGTTCAAGCGGCACAACCCATTGTTTTCCACGGCTTTTTGATTATTTGGATTAAAATCTTCATTATTTTTCGGTATTTAAAAAAAATGAAAAAGAAAATTTGGTTGGAGAGCTGAATGACAGATGGTCTAATCAGATGTAGAGTGCAGAGGCCCTCAGGCCCCCTTGCCATAGAAATGTTATAGCTGATTTTACTGAGACAGCATCTTTCCACCTGTACACCCAACATTTTCCAAGATGCATACAGTGCATTTGTACATAACTTTAACTGTCTATAACCACCGACCAAACAGCTCCAATTCAATTCGATTAATGGGTTAGGTTGGCCCGCCAAATACGGACTAGGCTCGCCCACTCTGATTGTTTCCCTTTCCTATTCAAGAAAATATATTTTTTCTACTTATCTTGTACATTTTCCTTCTATTTTAACCCTACGAGTGTCCATTAGGTGTGGGGGAAAGGTGGTTCCACCAGGATATCTACTAGGATCATTTGTTTTACAGCAAAAAAATAAAAAATAGTAAAAGAAAAGGAACCAGAAATACAATTTTTATATTTGTGCTGAATAAGAATTTATGCAATTTTACAATATAAAATAAAGGAAAAGAAAGCAAATTTTATTTAATACTGAAAGCGGTAAAAGATGGATAAATATTACATAACTGACTGCGAAAAACAAAACTTTTAGAAATTATTATGGTTCAGTGTAGTTGTGACTGGTTGAAGGAATTTCGCCGTGCTGTAGCCAGAACGGTCTTGTCAGCCACAATGAAATATGCCATTCCAGCCACTGTTATTTAAATCAAAATAAATATTACTTACTGTAAATTAAAACTGAACAAGTTTCAATGTAAAAAAGTAACCTGTGGAAACGATGAGAGCTTGAGCGGTGGGATTGAGATTGGCTCTCACCCAAGGCACCATTCTTGCACTTGCCAACTTTTTTAACACATATAAAAGTAGGGTTTATAATAAGTTCAAATTAATTAAACATGTAACAAAGCCTATTATTATTAATTTAATTGATGTTATGTACCGTCGGAATCGCAGTAGCAATGGAAGCCATGACAGCTGCTTTGGCTCCCGCCATTACACCTTCTGCAAATACAATTAAATATGTTTATTAAACTGTTCGTTTAGTATTGTACGAAGAAACAAAGATAATGATGTTATGTACCATGAGAACAACGTTTGGCAATGGCTAGCTTTCGATCGAGGGAAGCCAAACTGGTTATTTCAGTAGCATTCTTGGCCATTGTGTTGTGGTTTGGTTAATTGGTTGGTATATAGTTACTTAGGGAGATGTTAGTGGAGTTTATTGATTTAGTTAGGTATATATTTATAGAAAGCAGTCAATGTTTAAATTGATAGCAGCCCCCTGAATCTTGATCCATTTCAGTACAACATTTGATGGTTTCATTGTCATTTCTAAGGTCGGATTCGGATTAACATTTTATGGTCGGTTGCCAACTTAAAATTTCAACATAACCCTTCTGTCTCATATACATGCCATGGACATTCGTAATTTGTTTTGAATTAAGTCCCTGTTTGGTAGCAATTCATCTAAAAAAATTAATTTTTTGATCGTTATTTTATAATTTCAGTCGTCATTTTTGACTTCTTTACTTACTGATGGGACTCACTTTTCTCTCCAACGATCAAAAATCAACTCTTATAATCACTATCGAACATGCCCTAAAAATTTATTTTCAAGAGCGATTTTGAAGTGTCGTGTCACAATTTCTCATTTCTATATCTGATCATCTATCCGTTCTCATGTTTGGTTCAGCTCAATATGATTTCCATCAAAACCAGGAGGCATAATGTAACATGGTTGGCACTTGAGGTGCGTACAGATCCAAATAAAAGTTTCTCTTTATCATCAATGAATTCATAAAAATGTGATTTTCCCCAATTATAAAATAATTTCCCGGATTTTATTGCATCTTTTCATCCACTGCCACTGGTTTGGTGTCCAAAACCATGGGAAGAATTCGCCTGGATCTGGACCCAACAACACTTAAAAGTCCATCGGATTTCAACGTATGTCAACAAAAAAACACAGATGTATTTCTGTGTACTGTATATGGAAAGGATGGATACCAAAATAATTGAAATCCAGACTTTGACATTTTTTTTTTTAATATATCCAAGTATCCCATCTTACACTAGACTAAATCCTGGATCTCCAAAATCCATGCCCCTAGAACCTTGGAGGAGGTAAATCGCGGGTTATGCCTCAACTGGATCACAGGTTCCCCCTATTGACTGTACACTTCTGCGCACAAGAGACCCTCCTCCACAGTAATTGCTCCATACCAAATTTTTGGCCGCAGGTTCCCACCAAGAATCGAATTCTCCACCCTGCCGCTAGAAGCAAGTCAATGTTGATTGATCCACCAGTTGAACTGTGCCCCGGGGCTCCAGACTTTGACATTTTCCATTTGACATATGGATACCAAAGCTTCAATTTAATCTTACCTTTACAAATTAGCAAAGATTTATTTGAAGGGATCTATCTACTCTTTTGAAACAAAATCATTGCTCTTAGTTCTAAAAACCCACTTGAGTGTATGTTCAGTATAATGTACAAGCTATTATTGTGTTCTGTATTTGTCCAACACAACATCCCGAACACCAATGACTATTCCCTAATTGAGAAGCAATGCTTTTTATCCCTTGAACTAAAATAGATACGTAAAACTTCACATCTCTACTCAATTTCTATATATAAATAGTGATGACAACGGTGCGGGTGTCCAGCCGCCGCCCCGTCTAACTTCACATCTCTACTCATTTTCTATATACAAATAGTGATGGCAACAGAGCGGGTGCCCTGCCCAGCCCCGCCTTGCCTTAGACGGGGTGGCGGCTTGCCACATTTATTTTTTCATATTTTTTATTATTTTTACTATTATTTTTTTAATTTTTTCTCTTCACGGGGCTGAGCATCCCCCGCCTCGCCAACCCATCGAGATGGGGCAAATTGCCATCCCTGTATGCAAAAGGTTCCAATACTTAGCAACATGGACTTGTCAATGAAATACTTTTCTCAACCATAAAGTATTATTCCATATGTACCGAATGGTGTCCCCCTTTCACAATGCATGCGGGCTCCACGTGACTTTAAAAATGCCGATATATGATCTTCACTCCTGTTGTGAGTAGTAAGTAAAAAATTTGATAAAAAAATTTAATATGTGTAGCATTGTCCTAAAGTAAAATCTACATTCTCAAAAAAAAAAAAAAAAAAAAAGTTAATAAAAAAAAAAAAAAAAAAAAAAAAAAAAAAGTATTGCAACTGGAAAAAATGAGTGCAACTTTTAGGAAATAAGCACAAAAAGGTTCACACATTTATTAAAATTTATTTGATGAACGAACTCCCTCAATAAGAAACTTTCAAAGCTTGGCTGCTAGTACCGCTAACTAATAAATGAGATTGAATGTGTAACAAACGTGCCATCAGTTTAGATGTAATTTTCCATAGTACAAGTTTGGTAGAAACTGTGAAATGTAGACATCACAATAACAAAAAAATCTGAACTCTCCAGAGTTATCAGAAAACAAAGTTGAAAAATGCCACAAACAACGTGTCAGTATCAAAGGTAGAAAGCAATTCAAACTTAATTTTTATTTACCACCAAGATCAAATATTAGCAAGTAATAAAACCTAAACATTTCAATCTGACAACTAATAGTGAAGGTGCTTATCAGGAAATTTGCTTTTATGTTTTGTGGAGTTCTTGAAATCTACATTATGTAGTTCGGAAACAAAACTTGGCAAATGGTTAAAACTTAAAAGAAAGGTTCTATAAGCAAGACGTGGCAAGGTGACAGGATCAAGCCTCAAGAAGTTTTCTTATTTTTAATATTATTTCAATCATTCTAAGATTAATAACAATAATAATAATTCATTTTACTTAATTAGTTTATTTAACTAAGAAAAGAAAAAAGGAAATAAGGCGCATAAGACCTGCATTAGCCTACCCTTTTGGTGCTTAGATCCTTATTATAGGTGGTCGAAAAAGGGTTAACTACCATTTTCACACCTTTTCCATATGCAGGTCGCCTTTTCACGCCACATGCATAGCAGCATAGGCCCTGCCTTTTAGAAAACTAGTTGAGAGATAACCTCCAAGAATAACTTGATTTAAAAACTTCTAGTTTTTAATGTATAATCAGGCCTCCATTCCAAGCTTTAGACTGTTCATGCTTGGCTTGATATCATAGAAGAGCAAAAAAATTGTTCATTTTGAAGCTATGTCTAACCAAACTACTGTCTTTGTGTGCCTAAATTAAAACCCAACTTGGTTGATTTACATTACACTTACAACTAAACAAGCCGGGCTCGACTAGAATCCAAAAAATTTTAGAAGCTAAAAAGTATGCATTGTCTCTCCCAAGTCTCTATACAATATTCAACAAGATATAGAGAAAGTGAGCACAAATTGATACATAGCTGCTTGAGCCTATATACAACTGTAGACACTTCAGGATAACATAATAGGTGTTTCCCCCTTACATGATTTCAATGACCGACTGTATCTCATGACACTGGATACTATCAAATTCCCATTAATTTATCTACATGTCTTCATCTGATATATTTACCTCTAGATATCAACATAGGACACATACCCTAACCAATAGGTTTCTCATTTTCATTGTTGACAAAGAAGAAAACATTGGTCATCTGCATAAATTGTGTTTCAAGTTTAGAAACTGAATGAATGCCCACGTGCGGTTTCAACTATATACTAAATTTAACTTCATCAGAACACAGCATCACTATTCGGCAATCATTTACATCAGAATCTCCCCATTTTTGCCCCCATTTCAGAGCAGACATCAGATACAATTTGCCTATTTTTACACGTACATGCTGCAAACAGCATTGCTGTCTCTTTTCACTGTGCAATGTCAGCTATTCCAATTCATATTCCCCATAGAGAAAGCACAAGATTTGCAACTTAATCATCTTCTTTAAGCCCCCGTTTGGCCCCCGTTTCCTGAAAATGAAAATTGGTGGAATAGTATTTTTTTTGAAAAATGAGTGATTGAAAAAGAATGAAAAGTTTTTGATTTATGTATAATATTATTTTATGAAAGATTGTGTGGTTGAAAGTAGGAGAAAGAAAAATGAAATGTAATATAATTGAATTTAATGGGGGCCAGACGGGAGCTAAAACTCACCAATCCCACCCACTTCCCAAAAAACTCAATTTAACTGAAGTCAACTCAATAAAGCTTCTTCTCACGCTTGATTGGATGAGTGACAAGGATCTGCTGTCAGAACCACTTCTATAACCTAATCAAAGGCTCTAACCCCTTTTCAATTATCAAAGTTCACGTATTTTTTTTATAAAAAATCTTCTCTATACTAGCCCCGTTGTTTCTCCTGATAAGTGCATCTAAATGCCTCAGTGACTGTACAAACTGTCTTAATAAGTTCTCCATCAAACATTTGCCAATTACATACCATGATACGTAAAAGCTACATTCGTTTTTAACAGTGTTAATTCTATAGAGCGTTCAAGAGGCTTAGGCTACCACATTAGTCAACTACCCATAGGAACCAATCAAACCAAATCATATCTTTTGATCTAGAAGTACTGATGTGCAAAATTTGAGATATCACCAGTTCGGCATGCTCCTATGATGTTACATAAAATCCAGTCCTCCCATTGTTGTTCCACCCATTCATCAACAGTGAGAGCAAGACTTACAATCTCTAGCTATTTCCGTGTCAACAACAGCAAAAGAAAAGCAAACCAACCAGTAGAAAAACATAAATGGTGTGCTAACAATCAGGTTATCTAGGTAGGCATCAAATTTAGTTAAATAAATGTTCTAGAAAAAGAAGCTAAATAAGTAACAATAATGCAGTTACAATATAGTGATGAACGTTTGCATGGGCAAGAAAAGGCATAATGATGGGATGGCTAACTTAAGTTCTTTATATGGCAGTTCAGCACTTCGCTTTTAAGTTCATCACATATCTTAAATGACATATACATAACTCTTATAGCACAACCATAAAAGGAGGAATACATGCAACATGCACATTTCCTCTTCTATCAACTGGTAAAAATAGCAGTAATAACCTAATACTCCCTCTATCACACATAGACAGTATGGGCTTCAATATTTATCTATTCCGAAATACACGTCCTAGTATTGATTCATCTATTTTCACACCACCATCTTAGTTGAATATATCCGAGAAAAATGTAACAGGGCGGAGAATCATTCACTATAACCTCATCCATTTTTCTATATCAATTAGCTAGCTTCCAGGGTCTGACTGATACACAAGTAGTAGAGATCATTACTCTGATGTTCTAAATTTAGAACCACTCAAGCCTATAATTCATTGCCACAGACAAAAGTTTTGAAGTTTAATTGAATATTTGACTCAGAACCTAAGTAGAGTCAGCATATAATTCAATAAGATATTTCTAAGATATTTCAAATTAGACAGCGTACACTTATGCCAACAAATACGTGAAAAGATTTTCTTAACAAATAAAGAAGCATAAGACGAGTTGTACTTGATCTCTTATAGCAGAAGTCTTAAGCAATATGAATAAACCTACAACAATATAGCTGCAAATAATCACTAACGAGACCTAAATCAATGCCAAGCAGTGTTAACACTTTGAACGCCTGTAAAACCCAATTAAGTTTCAATTACAGAGAAGTTGGATACACAAATAATTTTCTTCACATGTTAGTTCAGCAATGTATTAAAGAATATGTAGAGATAGTCAATTAAGAACCAAAAGGAAATGATTTTAAGCATAGGTATATACAAAGAGTTAACAACAAATTAGCATCTACTAAAAGCATTGACAAGACAAGGAAATTCGAAATTGAAAATTATAATCTTACACAGGTTTTTACTCCTGGGAATTGTAACATCTATCACTTCAATCTAACATACTCATGGTAATAAATACATATGATACACTCAAATGAGCATTTAAAAACTAAGGTAAATAGAAAAAACATACATTTTCACAAAAATCAAAGTCGATGACAGGTTTAAAAGATGCCTTCTACTATTATAATCACTTGGAAACCAAAAGGATCTCAGGCTTCTTAGCCTTACTTGGTGTATTTGCATTGGACCCAGGGGCACTGGCTGTTGCTGATGCTGATGCTGATGCTGCTGCGGCCTTCACTGCATCACGCTCCCTATTGTCCAGCTGAATTAAACTCCTGGTAGCCAAAATTGCCTGCGGAACCAGATCATGTGAAGCTCTAGCATACAGATGCCGCAATGCCACTGATGCTGCATCCTTCATCTCCATTACATTCAGAGGACCCAACAAACAGTGGCCCAAAATTCTCAAAACTGGCTGCAGCAACTCCCAGGGAAGCGGAATTCTACCATCCGGCCTTGCATCCTTGCAATTATCATCCTCAATATCCAAATCCGTAACCCTTGCCACCACGTTTTCAATCTCATTGAAATTGACCCTCTGATCTTTCTCAAACCCATCATTGTTCTCAAACCCGTGATTATTTTCCACAACATTTTCAGGTTTTTTGTCAAAATCTGACGTACATGGGCAATCCTGACCGGCCCATTCAGCTGTGAATTTACAAAAATCAAGCTTTGACCAAATGGGCATCTGCGAGATCTGCTTATAATAACAATCCAGAGCAACCCCAACAATGCAGGCACGTTTAGTTGATTTCACTGCGATCTGTGGTTCTAAAGGCGGCGATAAAACCCCAACCAAAGGCTTAACCTGAGAATTGGCGGAATTAGGGTTCGATTTAACGGGATTCCGAGGGGGGTGATAGAGTGAAGGTTGAGAGAGATCCGGGATTGAAATAGTTACAGGTTTGCCATTTCGTGATTTGGTTTCGGAGGAATAGAGGGCCAAGAGCACAGCTTCAAAACCGGCCAGAGATACGGCGGTTGAAGAGGAGGGATGGTGAATGCGGTGAAGGTATAGGGACGTAAGAAGGGGGAGAAAGGAGAGAACGACAAGACGGAGGTCTGGATCGGAAGAAAGGAAAGTATCATATAGCCACTGGCAGAGGGGGTCAGCGCCGGAGCCGGAGGAAGGGGAGGAAAGGGCGGCAGAAAAGGAGAAGTAGGCGGCAGATGAGAGGAGGAGGGAGCGGGCAGGGCGATCGGTGTCAGCGAGAGATGAGAGGGAGAGAGAAGACTCTTCATCAGTGGGGAGGAGAGATGATAGGATGTGGATGCGGGAACGGGCTTTGGAAATGGTTTCCCACCATGAGTGCATGGAGTCGGAGGTGGGAGAGGGGGAGGAGTAGAGATGTCCATTTTGGTGGTGAGGGGTGGAAGAGTTAGGGTGGTGGTGGTCGGAGGAGGAAGTGGAGGAGCAAGGAGAGCCACGGGGGAGGTTAAAGTCCATGGCAGCGGCGTAACGGTGGAGCGAAGAGATTAATGGAGGCTCCTCCTCTCCGTTGGAAGGAAGAACCGTGCTTCACTTCCAAGGCCACGAGGAGATTAAGAGGAAACGAGCATCTAGGTGTGAGATGGCCAGAAATTTTATATCGTATCAAATTCAGAGATTCGAAATTCAAAATACCCCTAACGATTGAAGTATCAGAAGATAAAAACGTAACAATGTTACCATCCTCCCTTGTTTGACATTGTGCCAAAAATACTTTTTTTTTTTTCCCTATTTTTTCATTCACGTATATTTTAATAAAATAATATTACGAATGACGATGCCAGTATTGATACACCCCGAGGAATACATCCCGAGGACTCCATATATACCCCATATCATCTCTCTGCCATGGTCCTCGGGGTCTCCCTAAGACCTCGAGGTATTATTATCCCCGAGATTCCTCGAGGACATATTAACATCCTCTCAAATCCTCGAGAATAGTCCTCGGGACATATACCACCAACATACCTCCTAATACCTGGGTATCTAACAAACAAACCTGATGCTACCAAAAATCGTACCTGTAGATTTTCCGATACCTGAAACAAAGGCAACGAGGTGTGTTCTCGTCGCCCCTCCGATGCTTAAGTCAGAAAGGGAGATATATGCGTGAGGCTATGTGCTGAAGAACAATGTAAAAACGTACCTGAATAATGGCCCAAGGCTCTGCTTTTATAGGAGTAGGTAGTGTAATCCTAGTAGGATTGTGTTGGTTGGATGTTTTTATCCAAGGGAATTTCTATTATAAAGAGTATCCTACTTGTAATGGAATTGTTTGACAAGTGGTGTAAGGGTTGATGTAAAATCCTTGGGTGTTTAGGTTTGTTAGTTAGGTACCCAGGTCTTACGAGGCATGTTGGTGGTGTATGTCTCGAGGACTACTCTCGAGGACATTTGGGGAAGGTAAACGTGTCCTCGAGGTATCTCGACGACTATGATATCTCGAGGACTTGGGTTACCCCGAGGACCATAGGGAGAGAAATGAGGTGGGGTATGTATTGAGTCCTCGGGGATACACTCCTCGGGTATATCAATATTGGCATAGTCAAAACCTAAACACCCAAGAATTCTATATCAACTCTTATACCACTTGTCAAACAATTCCATTACAAGTAGGACACTATTTATAAATAGAAATTCCCTTGGATAAAAACATCCAACCAGCACAATCCTACTAGGGGTACACTACCTACCCCTATAAAAGCAAAACCTTGTGCCATTATTCAGGTACGTTTTTTCATTGTTCTCCAGCACATAGCCTCACGCATATAATTCCCTTTCTGACTTAAGCATCGGAGGGGCGACGAGAACACACATCGTTGCCTTTGTTTCAGATACCGAAAGATCACGTTCGTGCTCCTCATCAGTCATCAAGCTCGGAAAATCTACAGGTACGATATTTGGTAGCATCATTGGCGCCGTCTGTGGAAAACGCTACCAAAAGCCATGGTAAACACACGTTCAGGTCTTCCACCAGCAAGCTCATCTGCTCCAAACCAGCCCCCTCCTGAGGATATCCCTGTTCCTCAAGAGGAATCATCAGAAGTGCCAGAGCCCCAGCCGGCAGATGTCACTGCTAGAGCCTTTGAAGAGCTCAGACAACAGGTCGCCACACTGACTCAGCTACTAAGTCAAAGAAATTCGCATCCGTCACCCACACTAGCATCCTAGGGGGGTTTTATGGCTGATGCTCGAGCTCGAGCTCAAAGACATGTCCTTGACAATGGCGGAGCAGGGGCCTCGGGTATACCACATGTGACCTCGGCCTCGAGATCAGTGACCATGGAGTCCGGGGAACTCGCTAAGATTATTCAAGAAGGAATTACGGCAGGCCTATTTCAGGGCAACAAAGGGACGACAAGATTCAGTCCCAACACTCCCTTTACTCCCAAGATATTAACATTTCCCTTGCCAGACAGATTTAAGTATTCTAGGATCAAAGAATATGATGGGACCACCGATCCAATCAATTATCTTAACGTATACACGGACGTCATGAATCTACAGGTCGCACTAGATCAGGTGATGTGCAAGGCCTTCTTGCAAACTTTGACGAATGCTACTAGGGATTGGTTCTCAACCTTAGAGCCCAACTCCATAGCCTCATTCTCGGATTTGACGGACAAGTTCTCTGTTTTCTTCGCAAACAGTAAACACATTAGGAAGACAGCGGCTTCCCTCATGCAACTTAGATAAGGGCAAAATGAGACCCTACATGACTTTATGACCAGGTTCAACAAGGAAAGACTTCAGATTCCCGACCTACACATAACTGCAGCAGTTTCTGCCCTCACATATGCCATAAAGTGTGAGGCTTTCAAGATGTCTTTATCCAAAACTCCGCCAAAGACAGTGATCAAGCTTCTTACCCGAGCCGAGAAGTACATAAATATGGAGGAAACACTGAACCCGAGAAAGGTTGGACCCGAACCCCCGTGAAGAACAACATTGGAAAAAACAGAGACAGGAGGTTCCCCCGACGTCATTCACGCGTTTAAATACGTCAAAGACCAATATATTGATGGAGATCAAGGATATGAAGGAACTCAAATGGCCTGTCAGAATGAGGTCACCACCCGAATCCAAGGACATGAACAAGTACTGTGAGTTCCATCGGGATCATGGGCATACCACGGAGAACTGTAAGGCCTTGCAACGGGAGATTGAAGCCCTTATTAAAAGAGGACTCCTGAGTTCCTACGTCGGTAATGACAAATGCTCGAGGAATGATCTTGGCAGGGAAAAAGCCCCTGAGGCAAAAAGGGATGGTCAACCCACTGCTGGAACCATCAATATCATCATTGGAGGTATTGCCTCGGGAGGAGACTCCAACAGTGGAAGAAAACAATATGCCCGACAATATGCCTTGGCCTCTGGGATGCCTCATGGAAAGCTTGAGGATATTATTTTTGGGACCGGGGGCTTAGAAGGTGTATCACTTCCACATGATGACGCCTTGGTAATCTCAGGGATTGTGGCCAATTTTGAAGTAAAGAGAATCTTGGTTGACAATGGGAGTGCGGCCAATATACTTTCACAAGAAGCTTTGGCCAAAATGGAAATCTCATCTTAGCAGCTCAAAGCGGTTAAAACTCCTCTCCAGGGGTTTGGGGAAGGAGTCATCACTCCAGAGGGTGTCGTCGAGCTTCCTCTAACTTTGGGTTCTTGCCAGAAATAGGTTACGGAGATGACATCTTTTCAAGTGGTACATGTCTCAATGGCCTATAACGCTATTTTGGGAAGACCACTCCTGAACAAGATTAAAGCCATTGTGTCTACATTCCACCTGGCCATGAAGTTTCCAACAAGTAATGGCGTTGGGGTCGTCCGTGGAGACCAGACAGCTGCCAGACAATGCTATGTTGCCAGCGTTCGGGAAATAAATAACGACGTCATGCAAATCTCGAGGATTGAGCCCGAGGTCGGGCAACAAATCAGACTTGCTCCTGTCGAAGAATTGATGGAAATTGAGCTCGAGCATGATATGAAGGTGACGATTGATCGAGATCTTGACGTCACCCTAAAGACAGAACTTGTTCGTTGCTTATCTCGCAACATTGACGTTTTTGCCTGGAAGGTTGAGGATATGCCAGGGATAGACCCTAAAATTGCAGTCCATAGGCTTAACATTAGCCCAGGGGCCAGAGCAGTAAAGTAGAGGAAAAGACGGTTTGCCCTAGAACGTTGGGAGGTCATTCGCAAAGAAATTAACAAACTCGTCAGTGCCCAGTTCATTCGGGAGGTCCAATATCCCGATTGGCTTGGCAATGTTGTTTTAGTGAAGAAGGCCAATGGTAAGTGGAGGGTCTGCATTGACTTCACAGATCTTAACAAAGCATGTCCAAAGGATAGTTATCCCCTACCGCAGATTGACAACTTGGTGGATAGCACGTCTGGACATAAGCTGTACAGCTTCTTGGATGCATTTTCTGGTTATCATCAAATCCTCATGGCCGAGGAAGATCAAGAAAAGACATCATTCATGGCCGATTCCACCATATACTGTTATAAGGTCATGTCTTTCGGTTTGAAAAATGCAGAGGCAACATACCAAATGCTCATCAACAAAGTCTTTGCTAACTTGATTGGAAGGAATGTGGAGGCGTACGTTGATGACATGGTGGTCAAGAGCAAACAGGAGGACCAGCATATTTTAGATCTTGAAGAGGTTTTCGATACCTTGCGAAAGTACGAAATGAAGTTGAATCGCCCAAAATGTGCATTTGGCGTGGCCTCGGGCAAGTTCTTGGGCTTTATGATCACTCACCGGGGGATAGAGGCCAACCTTGACAAAATACAAGCCTTAGCGTCTATGGAATCACCAAGGAACAAGAAAGAGGTACAGAGGTTGACTGGTAGGATAGCAGCCTTGAACAGGTTCATGTCCCGAGCATCAGACAGGTGCTATCCCTTCTTCAAAGTCCTCAGAGGAAACCAAGGCTTTGATTGAAGTGAAGACTGTGAGAAAGCTTTTTAGGAGCTCAAGCAGACATTGGCATCTCCTCCTATTCTCACTATGCCTGAGCCTGGTGACACCTTATTTTTGTACCTGGCCGTATCTCAAAACACGGTCAGCGGGGTCTTGGTGAAAGAAGTTAACAAAGTCCAACAACCTATCTACTATGTAAGCAAGGTCCTACTGGATGCGGAAACAAGGTATACTTTGGCGGAACAACTTGCCCTTGCCTTGGTTATAGCAGCACAAAAACTCCGGCAGTATTTTCAGTCTCACCCTATTGTGGTGCTCACTAATCAACCACTTAGGCATATACTTCAGAAGCCGGACGTATCGGAAAGACTGATGAAATGGGCAATCGAGCTTGGAGAATTTGACATAGAATTCAAACCACGCCCATCTATCAAAGCCCAAGCACTAGCCGACTTCATTGCAGAACTAACCCCTAGGCCTCGGGGGCCAGATGACAGCTCGAGCATGAGCAATAATTTGGACACTTGGCAAATATTTGTGGATGGAGCATCGAACTCCTCGGGCTCGGGCGCAGGGGTCATCATCATCAGCCCTGACAAACAAACAGAGATCCAATGCGTTCTCAGGTTCGAGTTTGAAGCAACCAACAATGAGGCCGAGTATGAGGCTGTCGTTATTGCTATGGAGCTAGCCCTTTGCCTTGAGCTCGAGTTCGTAAAGATATTCAGTGATTCACAACTGGTGGTCGGACAGATTGAAGGATCATTTGAAAGGAAAGACGAGAAAATGAGTTTGTACTGTATGAAGGTTCAGGATCTTCAACGAAAATTCAAGAGTTGTGAAATTGCAAAAATTGCTCTAAAGGACAACGGAAAAGCCGACGTATTATCCAGGCTTGTGTTCATGGGGGTAGACGGCCTTGATAGAACAGTTCACATTAAAATCATCACAGAACCCAGCATCAGTCAAATCCTCGACATCATGGACATTGACAACGAACCATCCTGGATGGACCCAATCATAGAATTCATCACAAGTGGAAATCTACCAAGAAATGCCAGGTTGGCTAGAAGCATCAGAGCTCGAGCTCCTAGGTACTGCATGATCAGCGGTGTTCTCTTTCGTAGAAGTATTACTCTTCCATACCTAAGGTGCCTCAGACCATCAGAGTCATCCCAGACCCTTGCTAAAGTTCATGAAGGTGTGTGCGGGAATCATCAAGGAGCCAGGGCCTTGGCCTTTAAACTCGTACGATATGGGTATTATTGGCCAACTATGAAAAAAGACGCCTCAGAATATGTTAAAAGATATGATAGGTGCCAGATGTTTGGTAATGTTATCCACTCACCAGCCGAAGACCTCACCAACATTAACTGTTCGGCCCCGTTTGAACAATGGGGAGTAGAAATCCTCGGCCCCTTTCCTGTGGCAAGAGGTCAATTAAAGTTTGTTGCTGTAGTAGTAGAGTACTTCACAAAATGGGTAGATGCCAAACCTCTCACCACAATATCGGAGCCCAAGCTAAGAGCCTTCACTTAGAGATCTATCATTTGCAGGTTTGGGATACCTAGGGATGTAAACGAGCCGGGCCGAGTCGGCTCGCGAGCCTAAAATTTCGGCTCGGGCTCGACCCGGTTAAAATGACCGAGCTTTTTTGCGGGCTCGAACCGGGCCGATTGCTCGGCCAAAAAAAATGGGCTCAGCTCGGGCTTTTTACGAGCCAAGCCGGGCAAGCTCGTTTTCTCCCCAATTTTTTTTCTTCCCTCCTGCTGCCTTAAAAGGCAGCAAGCTGAAGGCAGCGAACTGCTGCCTGTTTTGCCTTAAATTTTTTTTATTAAAAAGCTCGCGAGCTCACGGGCCGGCTCGGGCAAAGCCCGTGTCCCCAAAATGGGGCTCGACCCGAGCTTAGGCTCGGGTCTACCAAACCCCGAGCCGAGCCACGGGCGGCCCGAGTCGGCGAGCCCGATTGCCATCCCTAGGGATACCAAAGGTCCTCATCACCGACAATGGCAGGCAATTTGACAATCAACAGTTTAGGGACTTTTGCTCAAACCTTGGGATTGATCACCGTCTAACACCAGTTTCGCATCCTCAGAGCAGGCGACTTGGTTCTGAGGAGGGCTGAAGCTGCAGGTCACCCCCCAGGGAAGCTCGGGCCCATCTGGGAAGGACCCTTTAAGGTCATACGACAGGTTCGCAAAGGAGCGTACAGTCTAAGAGACACTTCGGGTAGACCTCTTCCAAGGCCCTGGAATGCTGATAATCTGAAAATATATTACAAGTAACATTCTCGATGCCATCTAGGAGATTTTCTTTTTATTCCTGCATTTTTTCTTCTGAATATTATTTTTGGTTCCTCGGGCCTGCGCGCCCTTGCCTTTTATTTCTCTAGTTTAGCGGGCCTGCGTGCCCATGCATGTTTTCTGTTTTCTCTCATAATGAACTACGTTCGGCTTGATCCCGTTTGGGTACGTAGGCAGCTTGGATACAATATAAATCCAAGTCCAGTCTGAGAAATTAGTAAATTCAAACCTCGGGTATAACAGCCCTTTAGTTTACTTTGCGTCCAGGAATCACCAAAGTCTTGCCTCGAGCAAGCTCCAAAGCCTTGCCCGCGCAAGCACAAAAAGCCTTGCCCCGAGCAAGCACTCAAAAAAGCCTTGTCCCGTGCAAGCACCAAAGCCTTGCCCTGCGCAAGCACAAAAAGCCTTGCCCGCGCAAACACAAAAAGCCTTGCCCCGAGCAAGCACTCAAAAAAGCCTTGCCCCGTGCAAGCACCAAAGCCTTGCCCCGAGCAAGCACCAAAGCCTTGCCCCGCGCAAGCACAAAAAGCATTGCCCTGCGCAAGCACCAAAGCCTTGCCCTGTGCAAGCACAAAAAAGCCTTGATCATATACTCAAGCGTAAACCGTTATAGTAACACCCGGAGACATACAAAAATCCTACATCATTTTTTACAATCCCTTGAGGATATCACATGAGCAAATAACAACTATTTAAGTTAGTTGTGCTCGAGGTTTACAGTCCTCGAGAATATTACAACCCAACTTTTTAAGTTAGTTGTGCTCGAGGTTAACAGTCCTCGAGAATATCACAACCCAACTTTTTAAGTTAGTTGTGCTCGAGGTTTACAGTCGTCGAGAATATCACATCCCAACTTTTAAGTTAGTTGTGCTCGAGGTTTAGAGTCCTCGAGAATGTCGCATTATTTCATTTTAATCCCTTAAGATTATATGCTCGAGTTGTAGAATCCTCGAGTAAACTCTTCAATGTTGCATGAGCAGTTAATTTCCAATTTGTTTGCTCGAATGTATGAAGTCCAAGGGGTCGGGATAAATAGTTCAAATAAATTAACTTCAGAACATACATAGTCCTCGATCAAAATACATGTTCAAAGTTTAAACAAAAATTACAAAAGATCGGGGTGGGGAAGTCATCCAATGTGGCCAAGAGGAGGGTCGAGGTTGCTAATGTTGATCTCAACGTCATCCTCAAGACCGTCCTCCTCATCTCCGCCCGATCCTCCTCCATCTTCTGAACCCGAGAGCTCCAAAGTATCAGGAATGGAAGGCACTGTCTTCAGGTCATCCGGAGTGACGTCGGGCAACTTCTGACGGAGGAAGGCTCGGGCTTCTTTCAGAGCATGGAAGTACGCCCCCGACGCGTACTCCCCTTTTATCTTGTCACAGTCCTCGGAGGTTTTAAACTCCTCCCAGGCCCTCTCCCTAACAGCCGCGAGCTCGCGCTCAAAATTCTCTGTCTTCTGGATAAGCTCGAGCCTCGCACCCTCGACCTCATCCTTTGCTACAACAAGGTCATCCCTGGCCTTTGCAGCCTCCATCCTTGCGTCATCACGCTCCTTCAATAAAACCTCGACTGAGCCTCGAGGTCTTGAATCCTACTGTCCTTGGAGGCCATGGACTTCTCGACCCCAGCTGCCCTCTTGGCCTCCTCGAGTCCTTGCAAAGAAAGTCCTCGAGCTACACTCAACATCTTGAAAAAATGAAGAAAATGTCAAGTATTAATCTCGACCAAAAAACTTGAGGCTAGAAGTCGAAAGTTCGAAGATTACCTTCACCGTAAGACCCTTGAGGACCTTCATCCCATCCTCGAGCTTCACCTCCTCTTTGTATTTGTTTACGAGCTTAGGAGCGAGGTGGCGAGTCTCAAAGTCCCCGGTAAGATACGGGTCATCCTCAAGGTCAACCACTTCAGAAAGAGGTCGAGGAGTGACGACCCGAGGAGTGGGAGATCTAAGGTTCGGTTGCAGATGTTTCGCCAGGCCCCCTCACACCCTCAGGAGTTCCTCGAGGCCTCTTCTTGCCTTTCTTCTTCGGGGGTTGCCCCTGTGGATGAGTGTCAGTCCTTGTGCTGACAAAGTTCCGAAGAGCCCAAGGATCAAAAGACATACCTGCAAAAATTTACAAACATTTTAGAACGAGCACAAGGTCAGGCTATTTTTCAAAAAAAATAATAAAGGAACATCCCTACCCTCGACGCCTCTAATATCTGCCAGGTCTATAACCTCTTCCCCAATCTCCTTCATCGTCGAGAAAAGGGGGCTGAGCCCGACCAGCATCCTCCTATGCTCTTCCAAAACATCCGGATACACTTGGCCCTCACAGAACTTCTCGGCGTCGGGGATTCCCCAATCAGGCCAGAAAGGAAGGTTGGGTTCTTGGGCTATAACATAAAACCACCCCTCCCTCCACCCCTTCAAAGAGCTCATCATCCTCGGGACTTTAAAACCTCCAATCGTCGAGAGATAGCCAAAACAAGTGTATCGAGGATGCTTCTTAAGCTCGAACACTAATTTACTGAGGCCAATGTTGGGCTCGATACCTAAGTATCTACATGCTATAAAAAAATGAACGAGCATTCTCTAGGCGTTGGGCACTAACTGCCCCGAGCACATGGAGTGCTCGACTAATAGAGCAATGAAGAAGGGGCTACCTAAAGCCAGCCTTAAGGGTCTCCCTAAAAATAACAAACTCCCCTCGTCGTGCTCGAACAATCCTATCCTCGGGGTCAGGAAATCTAACATCGCAATTAGGCATTATACCGTATTCCCTAGCTACAGCTATGGCTGAGTGCTCTTTAAGCCTGCAGGGTTTGTCGGGATACTCAAAAACCATATTAACCTGAGCCTCAGGAGTAGCCTCTAGGGGAATAGCCATTGGTATTATCGAGGTCCCTACGTCATCACTACTACTAGAACTACTAGAAGAATCTCGACCCTCACTACTCGACATCACTTAGCAAACTTAAGACCTAGCTTATGAATAACTTAAAGTCTCGAGCCTTACCTGGAGTTCCTGACGACTTGAGAAGTTTCCAAAGTGTTTCTCTCGAGCACGACCTCGCAGAATTCAGATTTACAGTGGGTAAAAGTGAAAAATAAAGGTGAGAACAACAGTATTTATAGGTGAAAACGACGGGAGGCCAAAAGTCGCTATCTACGACCGTCCACGAAGACATGTGTCACAAATCCAAGCCCTTCTCTGCAACGGTCATATCTCGACCTCTATCATCAGCCATCACTTCTCGACGACGATTCAAGAAATGACATAACCCATGTGCACCCCATCCTAAGAGCTCGATCTCTAGGACGAGTGCACGGGGGCCAGTGACGATGCTAGTATTGATACACCCCGAGGAATACATCCCGAGGACTCCATATATACCCCATATCATCTCTCTGCTATGGTCCTCGGGGTCTCCCTAAGACCTCGAGGTATTATTGTCCTCGAGGTATCTCGAGGACATATTAACATCCTCTCAAGTCCTCGAGAATAGTCTTTGGGACATATACCACCAACATACCTCCTAAGACCTGGGTATCTAACAAACAAACCTAAACACCCAAGGATTCTATGTCAACCCTTATACCACTTGTCAAACAATTCCATTACAAGTAGGACACTCTTTATAAATAGAAATTCCCTTGGATAAAAACATCCAACCAGCACAATCCTACTAGGGGTACACTACCTACCCCTATAAAAGCAGAACCTTGGGCCATTATTCAGGTACGTTTTTTCATTGTTCTCCAGCACATAGCCTCACGCATATAATTCTCTTTTTGACTTAAGCATCGGAGGAGCGACGAGAACACACCTCGTTGCCTTTGTTTCAGGTACCGGAAGATCACGTTCGTGCTCCTCATCAGTCATCAAGTTAGGGAAATCTACAGATACGATATTTGGTAGCATCAACAGACAACCTTGAGGTCGGCCCTAATATATTGGGGGTCTTGTCCAAACTTCAAATATGGGATCTCTATATTTTGAATTTTTTTACATAGAGTTTTAATATAATTATGAACAATCTGGACAGACGAGTAAGCCCCAAATTTTGAAGAGGAAAATAAAAAA